CTTATGGCATCCAAGGGCTGTTATCAGAAACACAAACACTGCCCTGCCCTGCCCTGTCACCTGTCACCAGGACTCTACTATTCAAAAGGGGAAGGATTTGCTCCTGTAAACACTTTTAACCACCCTTGCAGGATCTAGAGACAACAAAGGAAGGGAGGCGGGATAGCCTCTTTGTGAGTGCAGGGATCTTAGGGTCTAGATGACTCTTTTCACCATGGGCACAGTGTGCACCCCTGTGGCTGTATGAAACTACCACTTCAGCTTAGCTCAGCCTTTCCCTGCATGGTGCCATTGAGGGATAGTGGATTACAACACCCACCATCCCCAGTCAGCATTGTCCTCATGCTGCTTGGGCAGTAGGCCATCAATGAGCCACTCCCACCCCGATTTCCATTTTCTGAGCAAAGGGAACTTTTGGCTTTCCAAACTTCCATCCACACTAGCGATCTCGATCTCGACCAACCTGCCAGGCACAAGCGTCTAAGCCCATTAAGAGATAACCCATGCTGTTGCTAATCTAATCACTTTAGATATAGCACCAAGCAAGAGTAATGCCTTCAAACTATGTTTCCAGACTCTTCTGTGAGTTGGGCTTCCACCTTCTCTTTCTATACCATCTTTAGCTGAATGCTGGGCAGAAATTCTGCAGATGGACTTTCCCCGCACACATGATTTGGACACACTCTGCCTGACCCATTTCTGCCTGTCCTTTTTGTTAATGGTACTGAAACTCTTGTCAAGAAAAAGTGGAGACAACTCCTACTTGTTGGATCCTGTATGGTGAGGCTTTCTGACCATCTCAGGGAGCCTCCATCTCTGGTCTTTATCTGGTACGCAATGCTGGCCATGAACTCTTGTCCTGATTCTGCACATGCACAACCTAATAAAGTAATATGGCAGCTGTGACTAGAGCACCAGTGGCCAATACGAGGAGTATGGAACAAACAATGGTCCAGGAGGAATAAATCAGGCAATGATGTTGGCCATTTTGGAAATTGGAGTAATAATGGATCAAAGGTTGCCACATGGAGGAATATGGGTGTTTGCTTCCTATTCCTTTGCTTGTTTCCTTGTACCACAAATGCTATATGGTACATATAACACACTTTTGACTTACAAACATGAGGGAAATTTAATTTGTTTTCTTTGTGGCACATATATGCTTGCCAAAAGAATACATAAATGGCAATTAATGATTGCTATCTTGCCTCAAAAGCTGGGAATTACTCCAATTTCCAAGTAATTGTAATTGTTTGCTCTACTTTCCTCAAGTGAAATATTTTTATTTTATTTTTGACAATTATACCCTACTTGCAATACATCATTCAAAGTGATGCAAAAGAAAAATAACATAATACTCCATAACAAAAATAAGATGTCAACAAAAGCCAATGGCACTCTTTTGCAGGTTTGAGCTGCAAGTCACCATCCTGTGAAGAAACCCTAACTGAACTCAGTGCGACCTAAATTTCTGTGAGGAAATATATTGCACTGGGTTTTTTTTTTAAAGCAGTAGGAGTATAAGGGTGGAACAGCATTCCGTACACTTTGGTGTTTAGTCATGCCGGCCACATGACCATAGTGACTGTCTGCGGACAAACTCTGGCTACCTCAGCTAGGAAACGGAGATGAGCCCTAGAGTCAGGCATGACTGGACTTAATGTCAAGGGGAAACCTTTACCTTTACCTTTTAGGAGTATAAAATTACTTTGATATGGTACCATATTAAAATTCTCTTAAATTAGGCAATCATCACTCCATCCAAATTTTGCCTCTGAGGAAAGGCAAATTTGCCTGGGTAGGGTCTCCAGAGTAAAAAGCAATAGGACTCTAGCAGTTTTAAAATTCCTGCTTCTACCCACCAATTAAAAAGCTCTGACCTCTTTTTTTTCTCATCCCAGCTTGAGAGTCTTTAAATATTTGACATCTCTCTCTGCCTCTGTGTCTATGGTTCTCCTCCATGGTCACTGGAAAGATGCCATAGTTTCAAATTTGCATCTTTAGAAATAGAAAAAGTGTGACCAACCTTATAGGACATCGTTTCGAGTGCCATTAAGATACAGATTGTAAAACACCTTGCACCTTAAAACTGATCTAATATGCTGTGACATTATATTTACTCTAAATGAATACAGAATTCTGGTTTCCTTGGCACTGTTTCCTGGACTGTAACATGAGAGAATACAAGTTTGCTTTATGACTTCCTCATTTACGTTCTATAGCAAAGATCTTGCATAAGGAATTGCACAATCCCTTTCTTTCACATTACGCTAATCACATTTGTGATCCTATACATATGTACTTGGGAGAAAGTCTCACTGAACTCATTGCTGCTTATTTCTGAGTAGGTACATAAAGGATTACAGCATGGGTCCTCAACTACAGCCCGTGGGCCAGATCTGGCCCACCATGATGATTTATCCGGCTCGCCTCAGAGCTTTTGGACTCGCTCAGAGAAAACGATCTCCGAGCAAGTCCAAAAGCTCTGAGTCTGTGCAGGCGTACTCAGTGGGGAGATGGCGGCGATCGCGGTCATGCTTATGCAGGGAAGACAGGCATGATCCCGGTCATGCCTGGGGGGGAGATGGCCGCGATTGTGCTGGGGGTGGGAGAGTAGATGGCCGTGATCGCGCCCGCCTTCCCTGCCTTCCCTGCACGAGTGTGCCCACGATTGTGCCCATCTTCCCTGCACGATCATGCTGTGGGGGAGGGATGGCCGTGATCGCACACGCCTCCCCTGCATGAGCATGCCCACGCCCACCACCGCCGCCTTTCAACTGGCCCCCTGTTCAAAAAGCTTGAGGACCCCTGGATTGCAGTATAGGAGACATGTTGCACTGAAAAGGATAGTAACCAGGTCTTTGGTACATTGAAACCAAGAGCTGGTTTTCAAAACTGCCTGCATCTGCCCATCCAGTTATACCCCTCACTCAGGCATTCCCGGTTTCCAAATCTAGTGTTCTCCAAATAAGTTGCTCTACAACTCCTGTTATCCCAGTGAACACATCTGGAGAGTATCAGATAGGCAAAGCCATGATAATGGAGATTTAAAAAAAAAACAGTCCTGGAACCCCCTTGAAGAAATATGATATGGAATGTGCATTGAAGAACGTTCTCTAGTGGGTACTTGATGACTGCTGAGTTACAACACAACACACAAACTCAAGGATGGGCTTGGAATTGTGGCCTGGCTATAGAGAAAGAAAGTCTGGCCTTTGCAGGTCACTGGAGGGAGGGGCTCTTGAGTCCATACTGTAGGCTTGTTTGCTGATTTATCATCTGTCCCCTTTATCTCAGAAAACAGATTCCCAATGGATACTTGTCTCCATCTGTGGAGCAGTATCATAATCTGACTGACTTTTTTTTTGCTTCAGTGCAAAACTATGCCTTTTTATTGTTTAATTTCCTTGCATGTCATCCTGAAAATATATTAATCAGGATTTTCTTGAAATAAATAAAGCAGACCAAAGCAGGTAGCTCTTGTTCCCTGTGCTGTAGGAACAGTTAAATTCTTATTGCTTGTTCCTTCACTGTTTCAGATGCTTGGTGGGTAGGAAGAAGTGATGAAGTATTTGCCAGAAATTATGCAAATGAGGTTTGCTGCAGAGAAAGCACACTTAATTTGCATGATTAACATTGATTTACCTATTATGTAAATCACACGGTGAAAATTTTATTTTTGTCCTAGAGAGGTGGGCTTTCACAACTCCACGCTCTGGCACTAAGAGATATGTGGCCACCTATCCTTTACTGGCAAAAAAGAGATTTCAGATCTAGAGACTGACCAGGTTTACAGGATCATTGCAATGTGTGCTGCCTGTCCTTTTGAATATTCAAACTGTGGTGGGCTGTTGCTATGGCTTATTGTACTCTGCAAACCCAGAGGCTGCTTATGTGATGGTCAAGTAACAGTCCTTGGTTCTGTGATGGTTGTTCAACAGTTGCATTAGCCACTATTTCCAGGTTCATAGAAATCAATAAGCCATTGGGCCTGTCCACCAACTGCAAACTGAACTTTCTAAAGGGTGGCCAGCATGCACCACAATCCACTTGATTTAAATAAGCCAAAGTTGGCTGTTTATATAAATTGGCCCATAACACTGATGGCTGTGGTCTTCTTGAGCATCTCAGCTCTGGTGTACATATCCCCATGCTGAGGGAATTTTTAGCTTTGACTAGCTCTGCTGAAAGCCATCCACACGAAGGCCCTTCCTCCCCGGCTGTCACTACCAACTGTGGCTACTAAGGCAGATGAGAGAAGTGGGACCATTCCATCAACACTGCTGAAAAGCTGTTTATTCTTTTCCTCTTCCCTTCCTATCCCCCTTTCCCTGTGTGTTATATTTACAGATTGTTATCTTGTGGGGTAGGACTGTTTTGCTAATTGCCTGAAAGCAGCATTTGGAGTCTAAAAAGAATAGCAGAGGAGCAGAATAGCAATACTTTGGATAAAAGATAATTAATAGATAGTGACAAAAAGACAGTATCACTTCAGATTCTAACTGTGTGTGGTTTTCTTTTCTATTTTCATTTTAATATATTCCTTTGCTTTAAACAACACTCCCCTGCAAATAGAAAGCCAGTATCCCAAGAAATAACCTAAGCTAGGCTATTTAGCCATGATGTGCTAGCTTTCTGCCTGCAGAATTCAAAATTATCTCATATGTAATTCAAAAATATCTTCATACTGGCCTTCGGTCCTTTACTGATCCAGTTTTATAAACTCACATACTGGCGTCAGCCTCACCGCCAGGCAAGGGCGAAGCAAAACAGCAACAGCCCCTGGCTCGGAGCATGACTCCAGACCGCGAGTTTCGAGAGACTCGAAGAAATACTTCCTCCAGCCGCCAGGCGGTGCCGCAAGCGCCGGCTTGCATAAAACGAGCGTACGGAAGGGGCGGTCTGGCCCTCGCCGAGGAAAGCGCGTCGTTGGTGCGCGGAGCAGGCGCCGGAGCGGAAGTGGGACGCCGGGTGTCGGTAACTTGCTCATGTCCTTTAGCGGAGGGGCAGCTGATCGGTGGTGGTCGTTACTGGCCGAAGGCGGGAGCGGACCTCGTGTTCCTTCGGGCCGGCAGCCAGGCGGGCGCAAACGATCCCCAGGTGCACGAATGCGACCGTCACTTTTCCTTCCCTCCGGGGGAAGGAGTTCCCTAGCGTGGCTCTGTGGGGCAAAGAAGGGTGAAAACTCCCTCGCTTTTTGTTGCCCGCGGCTGGGGGAAGTTGAAAAAGCGCCTGCACGATATTGGGCTAGGAAACCTGATGGGTGAAAAGGAATGTGATGATATAGAATGGGAGGTAGCTAAGATCAGTCTGGAACAAACGGTGTTTGAGAAAATCTTTTTCTCTTGGCTTGTGGCTGAACTGTGGAACTCCCTGACACCAGATGTGGTAATCATCAATAGCACAGCGCAACTTTCCTCGTAACCTTATGCAAGTTCTTTGCAGTGTGCCTTGAAAGGAGGGTTAAAAATCTTTCAGAAAAGTTAGGCAGAAGTAAGTTCCAAGTATTTCCAAGTAAATATCTATGGGATTTGTGTTCCTGCCTGCTTGGAAGTAAACATAGTGGGACTTAATTCTAGCTAGCCTCTCACTATATCAGTCTGTGATTTGTTTTTAGGTGAATTATAATTTGTGTAGGTTGATGTAAGTATTGGCAGATGGTGTGGTGTAGTGATTAGAATGTTGCACTAAGGCTCAAGATAGCTGCATTCTAGTCCCAACTTGGTCACAAGCTCACCCACTCACTGGGTGACTTGGAGCCATCCACTAACTTTCAGCTTAACCAACCTTGCAGGGTTGTTGTGAGGATAAAGTGGAGGGGAAGAGAACCCTGTGAGCCCCTTTGGGTTCCTTACAAGAGGTAAAAAAGATGGATAGAAAAGTAATGTAGTAATATATCAGTTTTCCCCTTATTGTAGGTTTAAGTTTCTTTGAGGTTTCTGTTTTGATTTCAGTGCAAACTGATAACAACAATCCTCAGCACATATTGTATAAAATATCTATTTGTTAGGTGTGAAAATAAAAACAACAGTAGCATTTTCTCTCTAGATCAGAACACACCTATTGCAGGACTTGATCTTCAACTGGACAATTTGATTTGCCTTTCAGGAAATGAGAAGTGAGAAATAGTCCTTCCCACACCCATAATCAGCATCTGGTGATCAGACATATCTGTAAGGAAGGTCTCTAAACCTTCCCATGTGGGAGAAGTTCTCTGAATGCCAAGATTCCATTTTAAGTTGTCATGATTATTGTCGTGAGTGATAGACTTGAGCCTGTTTGTTTGACAGTGACTAATCTTTTTTTAAAGCTCTTTACTAATTGTTGTCACCACTTCTTGTGGTGATGACTTGTATAAGTTCAGTTATATAAAGAAATTATTCCTTTTTATTTGTGACTGAGTGATGGTGAAGTAACTGTAAGCTTTTTACTTAATTAATGACCCACTGAAATGGGGAGGAATGAGTCATGCACCAGTACATGGAGTAGGAGAAGTAAACAGTAGTGAGCAGAGCCTATGTCTGTTTAGCATTGAAGAGGGACATAAATCAGTGGGGGAAAGTGCCTTCATGGATCACCCTTAACTCCTTGGTTACATGTGGTGGGTAGGACAGACCATCCTATCCAGCTCCTTGTATGCTGCAGTCCCTGATACCTGCTAGAGCAGTTTTCCCCAGCATCAGCTAATGGGACTAGGAAGACTTGGATCATTGCTTAACAACTCTTCTCATTCATACAGATAAGCCTGAAACAACACCTCTCTTGTAACTCATCTCAGCCCATGAGTGACCCAAAGGCTACAAGGGGGAGAGATCTCTCTAGCAGGTCCACTGTAGCAGACGATTTTTCCAGCAGAGGTTCTGGAACTTTGAAATCCAAGCTGATGCCCTTCTCTGCTGGGATGGCAGCTGGACTAGTACACAAAGAGCTTGTCTCCAGTAGCTCTTCCTTGATGAAATGTCCTCATTCTGTGACTGATGACCTTGGAAATGGCATCAGAAACCAGGCAGAGGAGGACAAGGTTGCCAGAACCAGCTTTGCAGAAGCACAACACGGTCTATCCCACCAAAGGGAGGAAGGTGAAGAAATGACTTGCCAACAGTCAAGACCCTCCATCAACATGGTTCCTCTTCGTGAGGCAGCCTTAATTCCTAAGAAACGGAAACTTGTGCTGCACATTGATTTGAACAATACCATCCTAGTCTCTGATGCTGTCACTGGTCAGGACCCGAGAGCTGCTCTAAACTGTTATTTGAGTACTGTGACCTGGGGAAAGATCAGCCCTAAAGGTAAGGCCATACAGTTATAGTGAAGCCAAAATCTCAAGTTTCTATGATTAGAATAGAACAGAATGGTAGTTTATTTCAGTCACCCACCAACAGTTTTCGTAACTGGAAAACTGCAACAGCTGGAAAAAATTGTTCAAGAAAGGAAATTGCATCTTATATTCTCCTTGATTTGTTTTTCATTTTTAAAGACAACTGGTGATACAGAGTTAAATGGAATGGAACATAGAATTTTGTGAGGCCAATAAGCATGTGAGGAAGGAGATAATGACTGGGTAGCTTGAGGATAAAATTAGGGTCTTGCCCAGAATATGAATGTTTTGCCCAGAATCAGTGGGATACCCATGCAGGCTCTCTCTAGTATCTTAACCTTTACCAGACTGTGCTCACATGTTTTGTGAGGGCTGGAAGTGAGAAAGCTGCGTTCTTCAGCCAAAACTTTAGATTCTATAAGAGCAGTCACATTTAGAATTGTGGGCAATGCATGCTGATTTGTCTCCCATAGTCTGTGCATCTTTGTCACAGATGTGCCTTTGTTAATAAGGTTATTGGCAATTTTAGCATTTGAAAGTGAAATATTTGTACTGAGGAAAATATAGTGCATCTACAAGTGACTTGTTCATTATGATTGCCAGGGGGAATGGATTGTGTGAACGTCATGATCAAGCATCTGGGCTGGGCTTGAACCTCCTTCAGCCCAAGGGCCAAATTCAATTTTGGAGAAGTTCTTTGGAAAGCTGCACAAAAATGGGGAAGGGCGTGGCTGGAATAAGAGGGCATAGTCATGTGGGCAGCTGAATTTGGCCTGCAAGCCTGAGGTTCTGCATTTCTGATTGCACCTTTTTGTGAATTTTATTTTTAGTTATGAGAATTGTTTGGTGGCTTAAAACAAAGGAGTATTCTTCAAATAGTGATGAAAAAACCAGTGTAACGTAATTTTACAAAAGCACTTGACTTTTCTGTTATTATGCCAAACATGTTTTAAGTACGATGACATCATCTTCACCTCAGGCAGTAGTCATTGCATATCTCCTGAATGAGGAGCTACTTTCCCTTGTATGATAGTGCTCAAAAGGTAATTCAAAATAATAGAAAACTAGAGCATGTGATGAAATACTGCTCTTTTCCTTAGAATTTTATATGCTAACCACTTTGCTTTTGAGACTTAGATACGGTTCTCCGTATTCCTTCAGGATATATTATTTTCCCCTCTCTTGCACTGCTCAGCATTTAGCCCCATACTTTGGGGTTCCTGGCATACCCTAGGCTCACATTCTGTTGTGTAGACCTATTATCTATTCCTACTAGGACATTGTCCAAATCAGAGTAGTAAGAAATGTCCCTCAATTTCATGCTCCTTCCTTTTAGAGTTGTCTTTCTATAAACCAAAACAAGCTGGGGAACAAAATAACCCATTTTTTAATGTTTTCATGAGAATGGTTCTCTGGCTACAGTGGTACCTCAGTTCATGAATGCCTCAGTTCATGACCAAATCAGGTCGCAAACAGAAATTTCGGAAAATTTTTTCCTCAGATCACAAACTCCGCATTGGGTGACGATGGTGGGCACGCTCGGGGAGGGGCGAGTGCGGTTGTGGGCACGCTCCTGCAGGGAAGACGGGCCCAATCACTGTAGTGCTTGTGGGGCTGGGGGCGGGGGAGATGGCTGCAATTAAAAAAATATTTACAGAACGGATTAACCTTATTTACATTGAGCCTCATGGGGAAAATTGACTTGGCTCACGACCAATTCGGGTCGCAATCAGAGTTGTGGAATGGATTAAGTTGGTGAGCCAAGGTACCACTGTACTTTTATAGCCCAAAGAAAGCCACACAAGGAGGGTAACTACAGGTCATCTAAGTCTCTTTTCAAAGTCAAGAGTTTGAGCTAAAAGCTTCAGCAAAGAGAATTAAAAACTATTGAGATAAGTTTTTAAAATGCTGATTTGACATTTGTAAGCCCGTTCTTTGTTATGCAGATTGAAAGTCAATAGGCCAATAATTGTTATGCAGATTTCGTTATGCATTTCTGCAGGAAATATTATCTTAAATTACAAGTACTAGCTGAAACCTGAAAACCATTCTTATGCTGAAACCTCCTGGGGGAAACATTCAGTTAAACAAAACCTTTCCTATGCGGCATTTGCCTTGCCTAGGCAGTCTTGTCTTGAGTTATAAGATGACCCCAGAAATGACTAGTCCTAGGTTTCAAATTGAAGCAGGATGAAGCTTAAGGCTACAATCCTGTACACACTTACCTAAGAGAGAGGCTTCTTAATTTTAATGAGGATCATTTCTGTGTAAACATACACAGAGTCATAAGGGACAAAAAAGGGCAAATAGCAGTTGCATTAATTGCTCTGCGGCAAGAAAGACTTCTCTATTTAATGTATGCGAACAGATGTGTGCCTGATTGTTGCTAAATAAAGACTGATTAGAAGGTTAAAACTGTATTTGGAGCAGCCTTTGGTTATAAATAATAATACTTAGCATATGCATATCTCCCCCCCACACACACACACAATATCATTTTGTAGTGTTTTCAGAGTACTTAGCACATGTTTCCTCTGTAATCTTGAAGCAACCCTGTAAGGTAACTCGGTATTTCCTCTTATTTTACACTGAGCACCCTGCTGCCCCAAATCAGATGAAAAGGAAAAACTAGATCTTGTGTCCCCCAAATGTTGATGGCACCTCACCCCAAATGACACCATCCCACTGTTTTCATGTAGCATCCCTGTGGGAGGCCATAGCTGAGCAGCAGTGCTAGAGTGGTGCATTGACAAAGCTTTCTTTAATCTCATGGAGTCCCTTTCATTAAGAGGGAATGTAGACTCTATCATAGGTCTATGTGCTGAGCTAGGCAGCTCTTCACCACCCGTTTCCCATTTCCTTCAAGAGGAGGTGCACATCGTCCCAGCACCTGCACATTCCCAAATACACTTTTGTCAAGTTTATTTGGGGAAGGGGAAGGATATAATGGGGTATAAGATCAACGTTAGATCTCCCTTTCAAATGTCTAACTCTGTATTCCTAGCCTTGGATCATGTTGAGCATTTAAAATGGCTGGGGGAGGGAATATTCACATGGGCAAATTTGTAGGGAGGGAAAGAGTAACCGTTAATCATTCCATCTGCTGTTTTTTACCTGGAAATGCCTCCTCCCACTTTACCATTATGAGACAAATATGGGGCAGGAGTCACATTTTTGCCTTGTGACATTGTGATAGGTAGAGTATCATGTCATTCCTGTAGGTTAGCTGTGTGTGTGCAATGTTCTTGGCACCCTGGATCCACGCAAGAAGACTGTCTAATCCGAGTCTTTGGTGTAAGGCAAGATTCCCACCCACAATGCAGATCTCTCTACAGATGAAGTTCTTTGTGAAGCTAACCTTGTCAAAAGTGCTGTGGCATCCTGTTTCTTCCCCACCTAAGCATATCTGCATATTGTTGGTTTCTTCAGAATTTAGGTCAAAGCAGCCTGCCAACTCTTCTCTCTCATGCACACCCACACGTGTATTTCGCTAAGACACTTGAGTTCAGGTATCCTCTGTTTGAACTATTGGCACTAACATAGAATATGCATCCATTCCACTTTACTTCATTTGATAGAATTTTTTTCCCTTCTGAATTGGAATAATGCTGTGCTTTATTCTTTTGCTGCAAGAGTGACTCAAATTTTTTTCAGTGGAAATTGTGTCATTTCATCTTTGTTTTATAGAAATAATATTATACATAGAATCAGTGCCAGATGCAGGTTTTGCTGCCCCCCCTCCCCACTTCAGTCATGCACGCTTCCTCTCGCTCTGTGGAGGCAATCTGTAAAAACTACTCAGAGCAAGAAGCTGCTGTTTCCAGTTTTGCATAATCAGAGAAGGAAAGTGAGTAAGCAGTGGCAGCAAGGAGTGAGGGCAGAAGGGTTAGAAGGCTTGTGTGGATTGATGTTGGGCTCCATGCTGGGATATGAATCCCAGCTAGTGCCCAGTGATGACACCAGTCCTGCATCAGTTGGAAGTTTTGAATAAAATCTGGGCAAGCGTCTGCTGAGGGTAACTTCAAGGATTGCCCTTACTTTGCTCTGCATTCTCTGTTGCCCTATCTCAGAATTTGATGGACTCACTGATGAAAATTCGGTTGGTATGGCTTGTGCAGCCTGGTTTCCACTTCCATTGAAGGGCTGTCCCAGTTGTGCAGTGCAACTAGTGACTGACCCAGCACTGGAGAAGGCTGCTGATCTGGGTGTCATGAAGGGGCATGAGAACAGTAGGCAGCACCACACGTGCATCTCGGGCACTGAAGTGACTGGCCACTTCCAGGAAACTGAACACCACCCTGTTTCTTCAGCAGTAGTAACCACAGCCAAAGTAGTTCTCTCTCTCGTGTACCTGTATGTGTGTGTGTTGTGTGGGTGATTCTTTGGTTGAGGACAAAAAGTCTCTATTCTTCGTTGTCTGACTATGTGAGTGAAGACAGCACCAGCAAATTGCTTTTTATATACAAGAAAGACTCTCTGTGTCAGGTGTATACTAACAATATAGAGTGAGCCCATCTCCAGCGGGGACCAGCTGCCACAGTCATCATGCATGACCAATTTATATATGTCATGATTAGGAACAAAACTGTCATAGCTGGAACCGTTGCTGAATAGAAGTAGGACACATCCATCAAAAAGGGAAAATGTAATCGGCAGGAAACATTAGGTTACATTTTGTACAGGCTTATCTGGACCCACATCACCCCTTAGGACATCTAGTGTTAAAACCAGTGTGGTGTGAGAGCCAGTGTGGTGTGAGAGCCAGTGTGGTGTGGTGGTTAAGAGCATGGGACTGGGACTCAGGCGATCTGGGTTCTAGTCCCCGCTCAGCCATGGAGCCAACTGGGTGACTTTGGGCCAGTTACAGCCTCTCAGCCCAACCTACCTCACAGGACTGCTGTTGTGGGGATAAGATGGATGATGTAAGCTGCCTTGAGCCCTTTGTAGGAAAAAGGCAGGATATAAATAAATAAATAAAATAAAACAGCTGCTGCCAGGCTTATCTTTACAAATTCTGACCTTCTTGACAGAATGGTTTGGTGTGCTTTTAAACAGCCACAGTAGGAGGTCACTCTGTCTGTTGCTTAAGGAAGACTGTTTTGAAGATAATGACCAATTTGATAGAGTGCATGAAATTTGGGAAGGGGAGAAGAAAACAATTCAGTACTTCTTACATGGTTCTTCTCCCTCATTTATCTTCTCAACATGCCTATGAGGTAGGTTGGATGGAGAGAGTAACCAGCTCAAGGTCACCCCTGTGAACTACATGATTGAGCGGGGATTTGAACCCAAGGTCCCAGTCTCTTCACAGCATCACGGTTCTCTCTGTCTCTCATTCTCTCTCTCTCTCTGACTTATAGGGAACATTTATCCATGTTGCAAATAGATAACAGCTTGCAACAGTAATGCACAGTATGTATGGTGCGTAATGCTTAAATAGACCCACTTCTGAGGAATGAAACCTGGGATGGAAATACACATTAGTTTATCCCATGTAGGTGGCTGGGAGCTGCTATCTATAATAAGTCCACACTCAAATGTGGGAAGAGCTTTAATGTTTTATAATTACCACTGTTGGGGAACAAGCCTTTTTGTTACCATAAGGGAACTTGCTATCCACTTTTGTTGCTCATTCAACAAAATGAATGCTCAGGGGACCAGGATGCACTTCAAGACTGTGAGTGTCAGTAAATCACACAAAATGGTTCCAAAATGACTTCAGTCCAGAAAGAAATTGGTGTTAGATGGGTTAATGTTGACACATCACAGCTGAACCGGGCAGTTGACTAGGTGCTGCCAGAGGGCAAGAGAGAAAACAGAGGAAGATAGTTGGGATGGAGAAGCGTGGAGCCTTAACAGTAACAAATAGGAGGTTTCAGGTGGTTGGCACAGGAGAAAGATCATTTTGAAGCCAAGCATCGTGACCTCCTCTGCTCACTTCCTTTCTGTTCCAGGTGAGTGGCAGTGGCTCAGCAGTTCCCCCTCACTGCTGCCCCCCTGCCCTGGTTCAGTGAGTTTTTACTCTCAGTATGGCCGAAGCACCAGCTTCACTGAGACACCCGAAGGGCAGAAGTTCCGGGACCTTCACAGGCGCCACCTGAAGCTGCTGGAATGGCCAGGCCAGCCTCACCCACTGCTCTCCATCAAAGGTGAGCAGGCCAAGCACTACCACTTAGTGCTGCCATCCTTCTTCTACCTCTTGGAGAGCCTGCACCGGGAAGGGAGGCAGTTTGCCGTCATCTTCCGCACCTTCGGTACAGACCTGCCTCGCCTCCTGCCAGCAGTGCAGTGTGCCCTGGAGGGGCAGCACCCCCACTTCCCCACTCTGCAGAACGTCTCGGTGAGTGGGCAAAAAGCAAACCAAACTCCTGCTTGCTGTAGCATCTTCAGTTGCAGCTGGCCTTCCTGGCAAGCCCAGCAGGTATCCCCACTTGCTTGGCTGAATACCTGCCATGTTTTATTAAGAAACTGACCTCTGCTTCTCCCCAGTTTGTATAGTTTTGTAGAGAGTGATTTACATTGGTCTGCCAAGCATTGTCTAAATCAATTTGGAGAGTTTTCCATTGGGTCCCTGTGTGATGATGGCTTCCTGTGAGATTTTGGTTTAGACACTTTCATTCTACATTCCCTTCCCTTACCCTGGGCTGGGGCTGCAAGAGGAAGTCTTACCATCCTCATGGAGGTATCCTGCTTTTCTTGGTGGGTGGGCAGCAAAAATGTCCAAACGTGACTGAGTAAAAGAAATAGGAAATTAATGCAACAGTGGAGTTGGGGAACTTTGGTTTCAAAAACTCCATTTTATGTAATGATGGCCAAGATGCTCACATCCTGCATTGCAACAAGAAAGAAACACAGGCAGCTGTCATATACTGAGTCAGACCATTGGTCCATCTAGCTCAGTACTCTTGACATTGGCAGCATTTTTAGCTTTTCAGTCAGGATTTTTTCATAACTCTACCCAGAGAAGCCAAGGGTGGAACCTGCGGCTTTCTACATGCTCTACCACGGAACTATTGCCTCTGAGTGAATGTATTTGAAATGGCAAAATTCTGCTGGTTTTGAATCATGGAGGTACTTGGTTTTCATTAAACACAGCAGGTGTTTAGAACCTGTAATGCAGATAAAAGTTTGTGGAAAATGGGCGGAGCTGTTAACAATTCGAGAACCAGTGAAAGCCGGGCTGTGAGTTCAGTGATCAGGAGGTAGCAGGCCTATAGTTTGCAGAGCTTCCTGTTCCCTTCCCATGGACTCAGTGCCACTTCTGGGCATATATTGCAGTTGCTCCATTTACCTTCAAGAAGGGCTCCACATTATATGCCATATTAAAAATACAAAACAAGTGACTTACAACAAGGCAATGTGAGTAGTGTGAATCGTTTGGACATTGAAATTCCAGAATTCAGCATGTGGTCCTTGGGATTGCTGGTGTTTTTTACAGTTAAGAAACTGAAGGAAAAAAAAAGCAGTGACCTGGCCACAGCAAAGGAGGCATTTGGCTGAATCCACCACACTGTCCACATGATTGGAAATTGAACACAATGACTTTCTGCATACAAGCAGTTCCTGAGTTACGAACATCCTGTACTTATGAACAAACTGCTATAAAGCCACTTAATTAACAAAAATGCAGGAAACCATAATCACCATAGAGAGAAAATGAAAGGGAATGTTCTAGATGTTGATCCATTTGGCTCTAGATCTTAATGGACTCACACCTTCTCTGTCTCACACACATTTAATGGTCTTGTGCAGGGTGGGGACTCTTAGGATGGTATTAAATTACTTCAGAACATGTTAAGCCAGCCCTGCTATATTTGTAGGTCTTCTTGCTCATTCTACTGGATGGGTCCCTGGACTTTTGCCCCAAGTCCTGATGACCCCACTACTGATTTAGTGGTAGATATTAGTGAATCAAATAAATATTTTGTCATAAATTTTACAGCCCTGACCATGGATTAAAGCCTTCTTAATTAGAATTACATACAGGGTGAACAAAACATTAGTTTGGGCTACTCTTTTGCCATTTCTTTCACTCCTGGAAAGAGAATGGGCAGATTTCAATTGCGGTGAATTTTGTGCTCTGTTAGGTACATTTGGGGACTTCCATTGAACATGGCTTTATACATATTATTTAATTCCTTCATTACAGTTTGATCCTGCCCTTCTTCCAAGGAACTAAGAGCAGGGGGTTTACTCTATTTTATCCATACAAGGAGTGCTGTGGGGTAGATTACAGTGTTAAGAGTGAAGGACTGGCCCAAGGTCATTCTGAATGGCATTTGCAGCCAGGTCTGGGCAGTCCCTCCTGCACTCTGTCCATTATATTGCATTGATCCTTTTCTTGTCACCATGGAGATTCATGCTTAGGGAAAGCGTAGCTCTGAATATGAGGCATAAACAGCAGGTGAGGGCTGTTGCCTTCATGTCCTACTGGTGACCTTCCCAGAGGCACCTGCTTGACCACAGTTCGTTTCAAACAGTGCTTAGCTGCATGGTCTTTTTTGCCTGATCTAGCAAGGCTTTTGCACCTCAGCATCACACACAGTCCTGTTCAGACAAGTAGGTTATTGGCTTAAGCAGAAAAAGTTTTCAGAAGTAACCTGAAAGAAGCCTTTAAATTGATTAATGGACCAGTCATCAGCCCCCTTCCGCTTCCACCTTGGGTGAGATGTTTTCATGCTCTGACAATCATGAACCTCTGCTTTTCTGTTAAGGAGACCATCCATTTCTGTTCAATATGATCCCTCATCTCAAATTCCCTGCTGTTTTGATGGTCTCAGTCCTGCTGGTTGGTGTTTGATAATACTGTGACACACTCCACTCTCTGTGTTCAAATAATTTTTCTCCTGTTTCTATACTATGTTGTGGTAGTTGCCTGTGAACCTCACTCCTGGAAAGATACGGTGCAGCAAGAGGAAGGTGGTGTTGACCAATGGAACAGAGCGGCTCTCCACTGAAGATGGTGGCAGGAAAATGTATATGTACTTCAGCTCCAGGGAAGGCCTCTGTGGCTTCCAGGACCACTTTGATTGGTGAGACATAAAGACTGTCGTACACTTTTTAGAATCTAGTGGTTGCCATACCTTTATGGTCCTAGCAATAATTTGGTTGAGTTACAGAGCAATCCTGTTTTCATGACAGTGTCTGTGGGGCCATAGGATACTTCAGATTCCCAGAACCAGGGTCTGAGAGAGCCTGTTTACCTCTTGGAGGGGGTAATCTCTTGCCTCAGAAAGAATGACCATGGCTGCCTCTCTGAGGTCAAGAATGCCATCTTACAGAGGGGGAAAATGAAGCATTTTGATGGGTGGAGAGGTAAGAAGACCAGGAAGGCCAAGGTATGAGCTGTCCTGGGGTCTCTCCAACCCCCTTCCTTTTGCTTCTGAAATGTTTCTGCTGGACTGGCAAAAAGCAGGGTGTAAGGATCTGCTGCTCTTCCTCCCTTGCACAGGATGAGTGCAGGCTCCAAGTTGCTCCTTAATTATCCAAAACCCAATTCTGTTAGATTAAAAAAAATAATCACCTTGTTTGGTACATATATTTCTCTAGTCTTGTATCCACTATCTCTTTCTACACTAGGGAGCCATATATCAGGCATACTGTAGTTGCATCCTACCTCACAGATCCCGGATTGAACAAGAGATTAGACTACATGATCTCAAAATCCCTTTTAAGGCTAAATTTCCATGCTTACTAAAAAAACCTTCCCTGCCTGAGGCCTTCAGCAGACTGTGCCAGTCCTTTTCTCTGCAGCAGCTAGGTCTGGCTTCTGTTCTATGCCGTTTGCCTACATTAATGGTACACAAACGATCCCAATTATATACCTTATGTCCCACAGTGAGAACTATTTCATATTTTTGCCATTTCATCTCCCATACATTGAGTTTACTTTATACTCATACGATATCCTGAAAAGCTTACATTTGATCAATGTTTTTGGAGGAAAAAATATTATTTTGCACAGATATTCTCAGAGATTTGTTGGCATTTGTACAGGAAGCTCAGAAGCCAGGGGCCACATAACCAGGGGCCACATAACCAGCACAACGTTCTGTCACGTTTGATTGTTTGATTGATTATTACTCATTGCTGCTGACCCTACTGGCTATCTGCCTTTCACCTCCATTCTAATTCTTCCTCTTTATCATCTCGTTGCTTGCCAAAAATGATCTAAATTCTTTGAAGACCTGAACACAAAATAAATTGTATGATATATTAGTTAAACAGGAATCTGTATGGGGAAAGAATATACCCTTTTGATCATGGCTTGTGGTGATTCTTTTTTGCGGGGGGGCATGCTGGTTTCTGTTCCTTGCATTTTTCTTGTTTTTTAAGGGGCAAGGCAGGTGGGTATCTCAGCTGATCCTCACCAGAGGCTTTTCAGTGTTTTGAGGAGTCTGGGAAATGCCAAGAGCTTTCAGTTGTGTGTCTTGCTGTCCTCCAGGTGGGCCAGAAATCAGTTCTCTAACCAGGGTGGGAAGCCCCTTTGGATTGATCCTCATGACTCAAGCACTCACCACATCTGTATCGATGACAACATTCGGCTAAATGATTCTGACACCATCGTCCACCCTCAGGTATCATTATCATTCGACATTTCTCAATGTGTGGCCCTTTTATTGGATCAAGTATGTGCTTGGTATCCCCACAGCAACCTGGGCAGGTGAGCTGGGCTGAGAGATTGTGCCCTGAAGGCCTTGTGACCAGTTGAAGAGCTGTACCTCCAACCCCTGCATGGAAACACATGTGCTGTCCATCCCCCAGTAGTGAAGTCTGTCGCCTTGGCTACCTTCTGAACGCCGCCTCTGCCTAGCTTGAGTGTTGCTGCACTCTTAGACAATCCCAGAGAGCTGGGGATCAGGGAGCTGGCTGCCTGTCACACCCGCAGGTGATTAGAAGAGAATTGTTTGCTGGCACAGAACAGCGGGTGCTTGAGGCCTGCTCTCGCTGCACAGCTCCCTCTGTCCTCAGCTGGCATGAGTCATTCCTGCTCCCAGCTGGGGCCCAGAATCCTGCCTCCGAGCAGCTGGAAACTCATTCAAAGCACTATGTGCTTAAAAGGGCAGCTTTCACACCAGAACATGCTTGGAAGTAAAATGGAGGGGGGGAGGGAGAGAGAGACTGTCTGTTGTGGTAATGCTTTGCATGTGCCTAAAAGCTTTCCCCTGCCAGAGGAGGGGGGTGCTTGGGAAGGGGGCACACTGGAGGGAGGCCTGGACTGGTGGAATGAGGAACCAGCAGGGCAGGAAAGGTTAATTGGCTCTTGCTGGAGTCCAGCCATCACAGTAGCCTCTTGGGGCTGTTTGCTGCTCTGTGTATGGGAAGGCTTGCTATTGGCTCCATGAGGCTCTTTGAGAGGAGAAAGTTTCCTTTATTTACAGCTCATCAGAAACATGCAGAACTTTGCATGGAAGATGCTAAGAGACTGCTCAGGAACTTCCGGCATCCCATCCCACCCCCGTGTGCAGAAAATACTGATGTCAGCATCCCTGTTTGCAGAGCAGGGAGACATTTCTTATCCGTCTCTGGACAAGCATCCCAAGGGGTCATATTCTATTTAGAGAGCAGTGCTCTGACAATGACCTGTGGCGATGCTATGTAGCCCTTGCTCCTCCTGACCCGTAGTCAGATCTCTGGCTTTTAAAAGCCAGGCAGATTTTGCAAACTGTAGGTCCAGTCTTGATCAAGCTGTGCATCTCACTTCTTTCCCTGAAGCCACAGGCTGAGCCCTTCCCCTTTTGCTCCAGCTTGCTCTTCTGTATCAGTCTTGCCCACCCTGCCAGGGATGGTTCATTTGCTTGGGGGAGGCAACTAGTAGGCTCAGAGCTGTGCATTGCGTAGCTGTACAGAATGGAAAGTTTGGGCCGGTGTGGGTTGTCTGTCGAGGGGTCCAATGAGAAAAGGGCACCTGCCCAATTCTCTTTCATGCAGCAGAGTTTTGTGAATCTAGCAGCTCTCTGATCAATCATAAAGTGGTCAGAGATAAAAAGTTTGCTTGATTGTGAGTTCTTCCATCATCTTATTTATATTCTGTGTGCAAATTGGAGCAGGGAAGGACATTGCTGGTACATAGACTGAGAGCTGTCAGCTTTGAATCCTTTCCCTTGGCAGAGCCTTTTTGCCTTTTCAAGTAAGGAATGCTTGCAGAACTCCTTCCAGCTAGATGGAATCAAGAACAAAGAACTGGGAAAATGAGGCTTCAACCTTTTCACTATATTTTGTGAGAACCCTGAACCCTACTGTGGTTCAGTTTGCACCATACCTTGTCGCTTTCAGTCCCCAACCGCTAGTGTTTAGGTATTCAAGATATCTCTGCTGAGAATTTTGTTTCTTTAACTGCATGCTTGCTGGAAGGGCAGTGTGTGCAAGAATACGGGTCCTGCTCTCTCACCATGAGGTTTCTATAGACAGCCTGAGTGCCTAGTTTCTGAAGAGGCACGAGTCGGGGTTCAAGCATGCTTGGACACCATTTCCTCTGACCTGGAATTTCTGCTTGCTAATCCATATTTAGCCAAATAGCTCTGATTTTTCTGCAACAAAGGAATGGCACTCTGTACATGTTCAGTGGCATTATTTGCTTTCAGGGTTACTAATTGTATTCCAAGAGTTTACAGTCTAGAGTGCTTCTAGTGTTGTACCTTGTATTCCCCTATATTCCAAATGCCAGAGACTCAGATTGCCAGCCTCCTAGAAGTCTGAATAGGCTTCTTTTTGGGCTTCAGGTCCAGCACAAGGGTAGGCAGCCTCCAGATGTTTTGGACCCTGTAGCTCCTCTACTGCTGGTTGATGTCCGAAGCATCTGCAGACCCCCCCAGGTGTTTTCCCTGAACCAGACAGCTCTTGGTTTCACAACAATTTATTTATTTATTTATGTATGTATGTATGTATGTATTTATTTAAACATTTTTATGCCGCCCCATTCACCGAAGCCTCGGGGCAGCTTACAACAATTAGTAAATAATTATAATTAAAAATATAAACATTAAAATAAAATACATACAATATAAAATAAGCCGCTCTGGCCAGATAATTAAGCAGCATTTCTATCTATAAAATGAATAAAGGAAAGAAGGCCACTTGCTTGTTCTCCTACTGTATTCCTTGGTCCTGCTTCCGCTCAAAGGGTTAGAATGTTGACTTTCTATACACTTTTTCCTTTTTTCACCTGACAGGTATTCTCAAGTCAGGGAAGTAGCTGTTTCCGGACAACTCCCACGTCAGAACTGTATGACATTTGTTTGGTTCAAACAGACCTCCTGGAGGCGATTGCTGATGTGAACTATTTTTGCCACTGCGTAAGAAAGTGTGAGGAGAAGTATGAGCAGTACTTGGCTGGGGCTGAGGATTGCACCAAGTAGGTTTGATTGAGAGTCTTTCTAGAGAAGTCCTGCATGGTTCAGTGCTTGCCAGGGAAGAAGAGAGTCTTCTGCTTTCAATTTGTGTGAGTGTGTGTGCGTGTGTGAGGAGGGGGTGTCCTTAGCCAATGGACTTCCCAGCTGGGCTGTTCCCCTTGCACACCTCTCAGAGGTGGTGTTGTTTCTTCAACTTCCCTGTCAGTGCCAGACACTCCTTTGGAACTGTCAGCAATGCCAGGAAGCATTCTGGGCCACTTTCTCTGGTGCTGCCTGAACCAGAGCACCTGAACAGCGATGCTTTCCTCTTATGTATATTTGGAAGGGGTGGGGTGGCTCATGGAGACTTCCTTGCTGCAGCAGTGGCCGAGCTTCATCTCAGAAGAGATGACAACCAGCCCATAGGCTCCTCACTGCATTGTGCCTAGCTGCGGTGGTAGCAAAATGGCTGGTCTCGTCACACAGCCCAGCTTTCCAATCGTTAAAAGCAACTCCAGCTGCCATCATTTGTTCATTGGCTGTGATGGCTGCTCACCCCCCTCATGAGGCCCGGTGCTAAGTAAGCCCGTGTGGGAAAGGTTACAAGGACTGAGGGATGCTTCTGGTAGAGCTGTGGGGGCGACTAAATAAGTTTCAAAGGATCATGAACTCTCACTTTTCTCCTACCCATTTCCACTGCAAGATTTTCTAGTAGTCTTGTTTACAAGCTTCCACAATGTTTTGTTTCAGAAATAAGTGATCAAGCGCAAATACCTTCTCACGCTCCACATTGATCTGCACAGTTCAATTCCACTTCCCTAGAATGAAGCAAGACCTAATTATGCTGGAGGGACTGGGACCTCTTGAGTTCTGCCTGCTGAACAATCCAAGCCCTCCCCACTGCCTCTTGGAGAACACTGAAAGTGGAATGCAGGCTGCTGTGGCTCTTTTGTAAAGAGCACTTCTCGCCCACAGGGCCCCTCCTACCCCAGCTGGAGAGGCAAACTCTGCCTATTCTTGTGGCTGGGAGGTCAGGGCTCTCCTGCTTGAAATAATAGTTGGAGAGAATACCTTTACTTCCCCAACAGTGGGAGGCCGAGCCGAGCCCGACTCTTTCGCCAAGAGATCAGCAGAAAGCAGACTGCGGTGCAGTGTCTGCAAGCCGTTGTTCTAGCCCATTGTTTGCCTCTTAAGGATGCATGCCGTCCCCCCCCCCCCCCAGAGAACCGCTGGACAAATGTGGTAGAAGGTGGGAAGGAGGGCCGTGACCCACACTGCGATTCTAAAATCAGGAATACTGTGGTGCACAGGATGTTAGCACAGCGGCTGTACCAAAAATACATAGTGATTTGCAGCACATGGCTGAATGGTCACACCGTTCAATAGGCAAGGTAAAAGAGCGCCAGGGATTTGCACAGATTGCCCTATTGATCAGCACAGCCAGCTCAGTTTTATTATGTAAATGTATAACTTCCCTTTTAGCTTAGGTTTGTTACAGGATCTGAGGAAAAAAAGAATATCTAACTAGATATGCAATTGATTAAGAGATGCCAGATATCTCAATACCTCTGAAAGGCAATCATGGCTTTAAAATGATTCAAGGCACCCAGAAGAAAGGCATTTCACTCTTAATAGTGAAGTGGAACCTCCTTGTTCAGCAATGGGGTGCGTCTGCATACCCAGTGCTGGGCGTAACCATGCAAGATGGTTGCTGCTTCCATGCCCTAATTGTGCACTTCCCAGAGACATCATTTTGGCCAGGCTTGGCACCAAAGCCTGGATTAGCTGAATCCGTGGTTTGATCCAGCAAGGCTGATGTTCTTTGATGGCCCCCTGGAAAAAGGATGTTCCTGTTGCTGGGGAGCAGCCATGAAGTGGCTCTTTTTGAATGATTTTCATATTTAGGGCATTGAGACCACAGTCAAGAACATTGTGAATGAGGCCAAAGGAAAGTAATGGTCTCCAAAATATATAGAACTCAAGCTGCTTCAGGCTGGAAAAGATCCTCAAACAGAGAGCAGGCCTAAGCCTTCTACCTGTGCTATTTTATGTAGATGGGGAATGCAGAGAAAAGATCATTTGGAACATCTTCTCAGCAAGCTGTGGCCTCACTTTTTTATTTATTACATTTCTATACTGCCCAATAGCTGAAGTTCTCTGGGTGGTTTGCAACAATTAAAACTATAAAATAAAACATGATAACTTACACTATAAAATTTTAAAAAAATAAAATTACAAATCAACTACCAAACTAAAAACTATAAATCAAAGCAGTAACCAAATAAAACTTAGCAGCATTGCAAATATTTAAAATGTGGTAATAGTTTTAAACCAACTGAAATGTCTGGGGAAACCAAAAAGAGAGAAGTGTAGGTGCCAGGTAAGCTTCTCTGGGAGGCTTATTCCACAACTCGACTGCCACAACAAAGAAGACCATCTCCCTTTCTTTGGTGGCGTCACCTGGAGAAGGACCACTGAAGGGGATTTTAATGCAGAGCCCGGAGCTTATAGTTTCACCTTGGTCATATCTGGGCCTGCTCCTGCACCCACACACGGAAAATATGAATTTCAGGGCTCCATGCAGCGTTTGGTATGTCTTAGAGTGGCTGTGGGATTCCTTCACTGCCCCATGTCCAGCTCATCCCTGCACACACTGCTTCAGTGCACCTCCTCCATGGTGGCCTGGCGAATATCTGGCTGAGTGGTGATGCTGTCTCGTGACTAGTGGCGAAGCAATGGATGGTAACATGCAGGAGCCTATGAGAGCCCCACAGCCATGCCCCAAAGGACAGTCCCGTGGTGTCCATAAATGTTTCCCATGGGCCAAAACCCATACAGATGCGGTCGTGCAAATTCACCCACTGCAAGTAGGACCTCAGCTTTGGTTGGAATCTAATCCCTGGCCTCACAGGAGTATTTTGGGAAGGAATGTGACTGTTGTTCAGCCATTTGCACACTCAGAAAGTGTCATGTAAATGATACTGGATGACTGATTGCATTTAACCATTTTGTTATTTCCTCCACAAAATGGTTCAGTACACTGATGGGGGGCATTGGCTGCTCTATATTCTATTTTGAAACTGCACCTTATGGCAAGATCCAACAGCTACATATCAATTGATAAATGTATTAATTATGGCACTGTTCTGCCGTAACACCTGAGATGGTCGCCTGTTTACATGTAACAAGCGCATGCTACAAAAACTGAGAGAGAGCTCTTTATAGTCTGAGGGAAGGTCTCCTTGGGGGTGGGTGGCAGGAGTTCCCCTGCCTGGGCTGCTTTACTATTGACTTCCCTCGATGCATAGGGGTCTATAGCGGCCCCAAGCAAGATGGGGTGGGGGGCTGCCCCAACAAGCCAGCAATGCAGAAGGGATTTATTTGCACAAAAGAAACTAAACAAAGCATCGCACAATGCCCCTCATCTCTTTTGTTTTGAGGATGTAGAAAGAAAAGGCTCGCTGGTCTCTGCAAATGCGAAGCCTGTCACTCCCCACCCCGGTCTCCCCACCGTCAGCAGTTCTTTGGCACACTGGTCTGTCCTTCCACCTATTTCTCATCCTGACAAGTGAATGGCAGCCCTCTCCCTGATGCTTCTCCTTGTCAATTATGAATTCAGTTGCCATCGAGACTGAGGGACTGAGGCAGCTGGAGCTTTGGTTCTGCAGCCCGCTGTATGAGACATCTGTACAGAGCTGGCATTCTACAGCTTCGTGGCTCTTATGCAAGATGGAATTTCAAGGCTTGTGCTGTTGCTGAAGTGCTCCCTTGGCAGGTGGACCCACTCATCTCCTAGGCCTTCCTGTGCCGAAATGATGGCTTTCTTTTTACTTAAGGGGCAGTTAATCTAGAATAAGCACCAGTCCCCTGGTTCTATATCCTCAGCTGTTGCACATCCAAGATGCTTGAACATGAACTATGAACTATTTTATTTCTGCATCCTTTTATATTCACATTCAGCAAGGAAGTGTTGACAGATGTGCCCCATGCACATTTGAACACAACTGTGGAATTCGGAATGTTCTTGGGGGGCAACCCTGTGCATGGGGAGACATTTTTTGAGTCCTCACACGGAGAGATTGCACTTTTAGTGATTATGAATAAAAAGATGAAGATGGTCATTATTCCAGACCACATTTGTCCATCTGTTTGTTCTTCAGTAAAATAGGGTGATGATCATGATGTACCATATTTTAATGGCTCTCTAAATGTGGGCACACATTGAAAGTGATGATGGGGAATCTGTTTTTTCATCATCCTGTTTATGACCTCATGGAATGAATGGAACTATGTTGAGCACTGTCTGTATTTTTGAGCCTGGTCCTATACTTTTTGAAAACAAATTATTCCATCAGGCACTTGAACTTACTTGACTTGATCTTGGTTTATGTGAATACTGTTTGAAAAATGTATTGTGCTAATGCATTATTATTGGTGTCTTTTAGCTTTTTACATTCTAAGCTTGCTCGTGGTGTTTCCTTAAGTTTCTTTTAGGAAAAAAAGCTGAGGTTAAAGTATAATAAAAGTAATTTTGGGGAAGTGTTGTTTATCCATGGTCACTGTTCTGTGCATTTCATCCTCTCTTCAGTGTGTAAATTCCACATTATAGCATGTGTTGTGCTTCATTTTCTGGTCAAAGCTGTTTATGCTTGATGTCTAAACCATCTCAAGGTGGCTTATGCAGTCTATGAATTAACAAGAAGCTGTGCAAGATATAGAACTTCTGTTCCTTTCATCTATGTAGGTTTATTATTTATGTATTTATTTGATTTATATCCCCTTTTCTTTTTTTTTAAAGAACTCAAGGTGGCTTACATCACATTTTCCCCCTGCTGCTCTCCATCCCCACAACAACCCTGTGAGGTAGGTGGGGTTGAGAGTCTGTGACTGGCCAAAGTCACCCAGTTGGCTCCATGGCTGAGCAGGGACTAGAACCCAGATTGCCTGAGTCCCAGTCCCACACTATTAGCCACTATACTGGTTGCCCTCTTTTCTTCTGATGGGATCTTAGGGCTAACCCAATTGCCTGTTGCGAAAAGGTAACAGGAGGAGTGAGGAGAAGGATTTCACCTGTTTGTATTTTTGCAGAATTCTTGTTAAGATACTGGGGGTTTCAGTTCAATTTGGCTACAACTGCCTTTCTTGAACATTTACGGTAGAGCCTAGAGAATCTTCCCTTTGGCTACCGAAGGAACTAATTCCAGAAGTTGACAAAAACAAAACAAAACAAAAACCCAAAAAAGTTTTGTGGCACTTTTAAGAGTTATCACACCTATGTGGCATCATCAGACATAACTCTGCCTGTTCTCATGTGTGTGGAGATAAGCTTGAAAGATGATGTGTGAATGAGAAAGTGTTTAAACACTTCTGGAAGCTGTTTTTAAATGTGTAGTTGGATTTAACATAACATGTAACCTGCAAAAGTCATTACGGTAAGATGATGTGTTGATCACCAACATGGCTTTATGCAAACTATAACCCATGTTCAAGGCTAGTATCTTGGCTACCAGCCATGGTGACTAAATAGAACTTCTGGGAACTGCCCAGAGAGCTTCAGCGATGGGCTGGTGTAGAAATGAAAGTACTAATAACTTCCATGTGCAGAATCAAAACACCTATGGATAGCCAGATATTGAATAGTAATAGTGCAATATATATAACCTTCATCCCCTAGAAGCTCCTAGAGGCATCTGGCACCCTGCTGGAAACGGTTCCACAAAATCCTGTGTACTTTAGTACAGTGTGGTTTACGATTTCAAACAACTATTGCATATTAAAAGCAGTATGTCCAACATCTCTCAGTTTATCATTTATCACATTCATGCAAATAGTATGCAAAAATGAGTCCCTTACCTAATGTATTCACATCAACTGCAGTCTTCCAGTTTATTCTGAATATCTAATGTGGCTCTTAGTTCTGAAGAAGTTACTCACCTCTGGCAAGCAGTCAAAACATAACAGATGGACCCATCCGCCCACCAGAGAGCTGGACGGCCAGGATGTAATGGGACGATTAATGCGCGCGCACACGCACACACACACACAATAGAGACATTTGGGTATTATCTCACACATAGGAAAAATGTCTGTGCAGTGGCAACTCATTCTCTGCTCTAACCAAATAAATATTTGTGGTACTTGACAGTATGCATAATTCTTTGCAAAATAAAATGTAATTAAGTGGCCACATGAAAAGGGAATGTTACAGAACAGCAGCTTCTCTTCCAAGTGTTACTTAATCAGTAGGAGCTGTAGCTCATTGGTAGAGCACACACTTTGTGTGAGCCAGTCCCAGATTCAGCTGCTGGCATCTCCAGGGAAGGTGGAGCAAGACTCTTGTTTGAAACTTTGCAGAGCCAGTGCGAGTTGGTGTAGGTTACTGGGCTGGTTAGAGCAATGGTCCAAGCCAAGCTAAAGCAACTCCTTGTGTTAATTTTTGTAATTTACATCCATATTTACTCATTACCAAGTTTGTGCCATATACAAGGAGGTGGATGCAAAGCAGGAGACAAACTATTCCCAGCTTAGGGAGTATATTAGGCAGAGGAGGGGTATTTAAGAGGTTGTTAGAAGGCCAGATAGTGAAGATGAAACTCAAATACTTTGGCCACCTAATGAGAAGGAAGGACTTCCTGGAGAAGAGCCTAATGCTGGGAACAATAGATGGCAAAAGAAGAAGGGGACTGCGGAGGATGAGGTGGCTAGATGGAGTCACTGAAGCAGTTGGTGTGAGCCTGATGGTGGAGGACAGGAAGGCCTGGAGGAGTGTTGTCCATGGGGTCGCGATGGGTCGGACACGACTTCGCGACTAACAACAACAACAAACTCAAGGGACATGGGGCTACTGGGAGAGCTTGGTAGGCAGTTAATCTGCACTTTGCTAGTAACCCAACTCTACTGAATCATTGAGACGAACTGAATTAAAGCCACACAAAGTAAACACTGAAGACCGGCCATTCCCTCTGAATGTTTGTACTACAATTTTCAGCATGCTTGGAGTTGTAGCCTAGCCCACCAAAGGAAACCAGATGGAGAAGGCTAGGCTGCAAAGTATGGTATTGGGAAGACCCACATTTATATGTGTAGATTCAAACATTCTAATTCAAACACAAAATATGCATGATTTTAAGTTGTACAAGAGATGTAGTATCCTGAAAGGTAGAACAGGGATTCATCCAGCAAATAATGTTAGTTCTGTTGCACTGGAGGGAATGCTAGCTTCTGTTACCTTTTCTCGCCACTGCCCATTACGAAGCAAAAGGCAGATCCAGGAAAGCTGTGGTGTATACATAGGCTTGTACCCAGATCGTTTGGCAGAACTGTATTCGAGCGCCTAAAGAGACTAAAGAGTAGTGTGGCTGTGTGCATGTGTACAAATCAGCATCAGTTTATTACACCACTTTCCTGGCACGTATCTGTGTGACAGACAGCATACAATAGTAAAATTTAATTTCAGTAAAAAAACCTGATTATCCAAACAATATTTTGCAACTGTGTGTGGGGGCAGAGGTTGAGAGGCCTCCATTGAGGCAGGTACGGTAAGGTTCAGACAGCTGATGTCGCCTGCCATTCATGCTGTTAGGGCAGGAAGAACCCAAGGTCTTACCCACTGGACACCATCCACCAAAGTATTATATTGCAAGCCCCCTGAAACAAGAGACCTGTGCAAGGAAATGCCTCTGTATGCCCTTGCATAGTTCCCTTCATTTGCATGCAAGCGGCAATCCAGTTAAAAGCATTTAAATGTATTAAACGACTTTTCATCATTTGATTAACCTATTGAATAAACTCACAGAGAAGCAAGGAACATCATTTCTTTGTTTTTAGATGAATCACACACATGGTAGCAGCAGGCATAATAGTAAAACGGGCATCCTGCCAGTGCGTGAGAAGGGGGAGAGAATGTCCCTTTGAAACTGGGCCTCACTGCCTTAGATGCGTATGGAGGGCTGGCCCTGCTGTAAACAGTGAGGTGGCCACCTCAGGGGGTGGATGGTATATAAGTGGGGTTCAAATGGGGGTGGTGGGACGGTCAACAAAGTGCAGGAATGAGGAATGGGTGGCCCTCCAGATGTTTTGATTCCTTACCACTCTGCTGGCTAGGATTGATGAAAGTTGTAGGCCACAAAGTCCACGGGGCCTCAAGTTCTTCACTCCTCTGCTGAGGTTAGAAATAGAAACAGCGCAAGTCAGAAGGGGCCTCCCGGGCCATCTAGTCCGACCCCCGGCTCCAGCCGGCTCCGCTCACGACATGCCTACTAGGTTGGGGAACAGCAGCAAGGTTTTGCAGGACAGAGCTGCTCACCCTGCTTCTTTTAAGCTAGCCTGTTACCCACAGTGGAGAGTCATGTGCCATTACAGAAAAATAAATAAATAACCCATAGAACTGAAGTAAGATTTAATTGCCTGTCATCCTGGCTTCTGTGGTAAGGGAAGAGGAGCACAAGCTTTTCCTTTGTCACAGGCCAGCTCTGGCGATACTTGCATTAAAAATATATTTAAAACTCTGTTGCCTGATTAAGCAAGGGCATGCTTTTAATAGCTTAACCAGAGTAGCATACATGTCTATTTAAGAGTAATAGATTTTAAATATAACCTGATGTATTCTTAGGTAAGTATGAATGAGATTGCAGCCAATGAATGCGATTGTTTCTGGGTATAAATCTGATTGCAAAATGTCTTCCTCCTGAGCAGGCATCTTTAAGATTATATCACAAAGGTTTTTTTTTTTAAAAAACAACCAATTATTTGTGACAGTCGTAATAAAATTGATCATATGTGTGTTGACTAGAATGCCATCGATACCATATGCCATAAATGCATATGGATTTAACTTAGCCCCTGCTAAGTTGACTAGAATGCCATAAATCCAGTGGATTTAACTTAGCCCCTGCTTCTTAGGTTGCGATGGATACTTTAAAACTAGTACAGCCTGAGGATGTGGACAAGATCCTTGGAGAACTGAGGCCTACCACCTACCACTTGTGTGCAGGACGTTGGTCTTTCCTCGCTTATAAAAACAGCTGGGTTGGAACTGGCTGAGTGGATAAGGACAGCTGTGAACGCCTCTGTATGTCAAGGTGTGATTCCATCTTGCCTAAAGGAAGCAGTGGTAAGGCCTTTGTTAACCGCCCCACCACCCCCAGTTGAACCCACATATAGCTTAATTTCCAGCCAGACTCCACTCTGCTTTTGGGGAAGATGCTGGAGCATGTGACTGCTTCTTGGCTCCAGGGATTTCTGCATGAAGCATATTATCTAGATTAATTTCAGTCTGACTTCAGACCTGCTTGTGGAAAACAGGCTGTTCCAGGAAATGGACTGGGAACCTGCTGTTGTTTCTGCTGAACTTAGGGGCTTTCAATGCCATTTACCACAGTGCTTTCTGGGGTGTTTCTCTGAGATGGTACTGTTACAGTGGCTCAGGTTCTTCCTGGAGGGACAATTTCAGGTAGTGTTGGGGGATTCCTGTTTGACACCATGGCCACTGGCCCACAGGAGCCTTAGCATGCCTATTCTGGATGGGGTTATATCCTCCCTGAAGACGCAGGCTTGCAGTTTGGCATATTCCTGGACTTTGGCTCTGAGCCTCGATGCCCAGACTTTGGCATTGGCCATGGATGCATTTGTGTATCTGAAGGAATAAGCCAATGGTGCCTATTTGTAGAGATGTCTGATCTGGCAAACATGGACTATTGCAACACACTGTATATCGGGCTGATTGAAAACACTGCACGTTTGACCAGAAGATGGTTTGGCTGAACGGAAGTCTCATCTGCCTCACTCTGCTGAGGCCAAACCACTGACCAGGGCCAGTTACAGAGACTCCCTGGTTACAACCATTTCTGTTTCTGGGCACAATTCAAAGTGTGAGTTATAATCTGTAAAACTGTACACAGCATGGGAGCAGCCCACCTTCTCCCATACTAGCCTGCCAAGGTCGTAAGATCTTTGGAAGGGGCTCTTCTTTCACTACTGCTGTCCTCAGAGGCACATTTGGTGGAGAAATGAGAGGGCCTCTGCAGTGGTGTCGCCCAAGCTACAGAACTCCCTTGGTTGTCTTTCCACAGGCAAGCAGGGATACTTTATGGAGGTGAGCCTTTGGCATGTAAACAGGTTGCTCAGGTTGGCTTCTGTGTCTATTCTATTGTTGCCTGTTTGAGGGTGCTTTTAATATATGATGTTTTATTACCTTCTTAATCAAAATTTTATCTGTGGATGTTAGCTGCCTCCAGTGCTGTTGTATTGGAAGAAATCCAATAAACAAATAACGTACTGAAATAAATGATTTCACTAAGCCTTGGGCAGGAATGCTTTTCAGTAAAATATGTTATTCGAGAAAGGAGAGGCCCTCTGAATTTACAGCCTTATGGACCAAAAAGACTGCACGGACTATGCCATTCTTCCCCCATCATAAAACAACTTGGTGTCCACTCTGTTTGCAAAGTAAACAGAGGGCGCATTTAGAAATGTAACCCAACATATTCCCTCAAATTGGGACGCCCGGCAGGCAGGCAAACCAGCATAGGGCAAAAAAATAAAAAAATCTGGAGCCAATTCCTGGCTGTATGTATACATGCACATCATTAACTCTTTTATTTGTCTTTTTTAAAACTCTGACAATTATTTTTGGAGACGTTTCTTTCCTGTTAAAGTAGCATTAGCAAAAAGCAACTGCCAAGAGGTCAAGATTGCCAGCTAGGGTGGGATCGGTCTACCTAAATTTTAGACAGACCAGCCCGCCTTGTTTTCCCTCTGTTGGACCCACAAGGACCTAACGCTACTCCCGCTCTCTTCCCCTGCCTCCCTCAGAAATACTCACGGAATTGTTCCATATTAACCATTCAGATAATGGAAACGATCGTTCCGAAACTGGAAAGGCGCATCACAGGGGCGCGGCGCTCTTTCCGAGGCAGGAGCGTCGAGGGGCGGCGGCGCGCTCCCTTTCCCGGGCGCCCGGAGTGGCTCGGCAAGGCAGCCGCTGTCCCGAGCGCGCTGCGCCCGGGGGAGGAAGAGTTAAAGCGGCGAGTGGTGTGTGGCTTCTCCCCCCCGCCCCGCTCCGCGATATTAAGAGACTCGCCGAGAGTGGAGGAGAAGAAGCGGCATTGGAGCAGGGCGGCGAGGAGCGGGAAGAAGGAGTGCCTCCCAGCCTCGCTTGCGGAGTTTGCGCGGGCCAGAGGATCGCGCAGTGCGGCGAGGTGAGCGCCGCACTCGGGGCTCCCCGGGGCCATCAGTGAATCTGATGCGTCGAGTCGCGGCGGGGAACTCCGATCGGCGCACGGTGCCGTCCTTCTGCTTTGCCGAGCGCCCGAGCCCTGCGGGGAAGAGGAGGAGGAACGGGCGCCTGCGCCGCCGCCGCCTCTTCCTCCAAAGTTTGTGTCGGCGGGGAGCAGGGAGGGCCGGGGCGAGGCCGCACGGAACCGGTGCCGGGTCTGTGCCCTCCAGGCGCCTCCCGCTCCCCGAACAATCGGAGAGGTGCCGGGGCGCGGAGCTGTGCGGGCAGGCGGTGGGGCGTCGCGCAGAGTCCCCGCGAGCTCCGCACCTCCTCTCTGCGGCCATTTGGCGGCGGAGCGCCGGGCGCGTCGCGGGCCGGGCGGGCTTTTGCGGCGGCTGCCGAAGGTGAGCGCTGCTCATGCCTCGGAGCCAGCCTTCTCCTTAGTCGGCGCTTTAGCAACTCTTCCATTGCTGGCGGGGAGGGGGGCGGGGGGGCGGCGGCTGTCGGATAAGCCAAGGTGGGCTGCGGAGGCAAGCCGCAGCCTTACGCTTGTTCCTCCAGGTAGTGCACCCCTGAGAGGGAAACGGGGAGCATTTGCCTGGCGGATTAGAGCTTGTGTTCACGATACATTTTTAAGGTCGTCATTTAGAGTTCCTCCATATGAGATGTTTTCAGTGTCCAGTAAATGGTGCCACTAAGCATGTGCAGAGTTGTTCTCTAGACTTCTCCCCATGCCAGCAGTGCCACTCGTGCAGCCTGTCCTGCACCCGTTTAGTCTGAAGTAAGACCCAGCGTGCTTCAAGTTGATTAAACAATGACTGTGAAAGGAGCATTACCTTGAAAGAAAAAAAGATTGGAAAGCAAGCACATTAATTTTCTTTTAAAAAATCAGTGAAAAGCATGTTTTGGAATTGTGGGCAGGGCCAGGAGTGAGTCTGTTCTTACCCCTTCTTAGCCAAACAGAAAAGTCGCTACCTCACACCTCTTGTGTGTTACTGTGTGCTGAACAGAGTAGAGTTAAGAGAGATTCTCTCTCTTAAGGTCCGCCGCTTTTTTAGTGCCTCGCCTTCGTAACTCTGTTCAGGCAGCTTCTGGAGACCAAAAGAGGCTTGTCTTGCCTGGGTCTTTCAGTGAGGTGAGCTCTTGCCCCACTGTCCCCACAGCGTGCTCCCTTCTCCGTAAGAAGAGCTCTGCTGAAGTGGGTCAGAGCACTCTGAAGTCCAGCATCCCGTTTTCCTACAGTAGCCATGAAGATGGCTCTGGGAAATCTATGACAAAGTTAGCTGCATGTGGTTAGTCCTCAGTATTTTTTGTATTCAGACTTGCTGGTTCTTTTGGTCTTGGAGGTTGCATGTAGCCCATCTCATGACCAGGAATCATTGACAGTCATGAATCGGTCTAATCTGCTTTTCAGCCCTCTGCACTAGTCACCATCCCCACATCTTGAGAGAGCAATTCCATAGTTTAATTCTGCAACTTGTGGAGAACTGTCTTTTGTCTGCCATCAGTTTCCTGTCACTTGGCTTCATGGATTGGCCCCCAGTTCTAGTATTGTGAGAGAGGGAAAAATAGTCCATTTCCTATATGCATCATGTTAAATCTTGATTATGGCCCCCTTTAGACTTCTTTTTTGGATAACAAGATAACCTCAGGCTTATTTCCTCATAGGGGAGTTGCTTCAGTCCCCCATCTGGCAGTGATTGCATCTTTTGAGAAAATGAACAGACTCTTGTTCCTCTGATGAGGGATGCAGGGAGAAGCAGTGATTTAGTGGTGATAAATGATTTAATCTTTCCATACAGTGTCTCCAAGATAACAGGTGAAAAGCCAGCTATTGGCTTTCTCAGAGGCTTAGTGAGGGAAGGCCCACCCGCCTGGAGTTCGCCCTTGACTTTTAGGCTTACAGCCTAACATTGTGCAGCATAGTCAACATGGCTAGTTGGAAAATGGTAAATCTACAGCATGTGACATTGGACAGCTGCTGTTAAACTTCTGAGCAGGAGCAGTCTGTGCAATGGTGAGGACTTGAGACTTGCAGCATCAGCCATGTGAGAAGTACACGACCTCAGAGCTGTGGGCCAGAGATGGGGTTTGGAATTGGAAGCACAACCCAGGCTGTGTAGAAACAACATTAGAGCATTGCTTGAACCCCCAGCTCCTTTTAGAAATCATTAAGTGTTGACTCATGCATTAGTATTCACTTGTGGGTCACGGAGTGTATGCCAAGAATCTGGGAGCAGTATGGCATAACCACGTATTCAGGTTTGTTTTGATCCTTCTGAGAGGTTTATGTGCTTAGAGGTGAAAAGGGTTTGGAAAAGGGTGCTCATAAGTAGTCAAGACCTGGCCCTTGAGAGAGGAGCTGATGATCCCTGGTTTCAGGTCTGTCCTAGATCCAGGCATTCACTTAGCCCTTGGATGTACTTCCAGTGCCACAGCACCCGTGGCCTTGGAGCATACCTTGCGATGAAAGGAATGACAGCTTCTGACATGAGCACAATCTCTCTCTCCCCCCCCCCCATCGTTATGTAACCAAAATAAACCTATTCGAGGATTTAGGGAAGGGCTTCTAGAAGAAGGTATGTAGCATTCCAGGTTGGGATTGAGGCCCAACACATCTGTTAGAAACTAAGTGCTGGTTGATTTGATGGCTCCCTACTGCCTGCCAGTTGTTATTGGATAGGATGCGTTCTTAATTGCAAAACTGTTGGCACGTCACCATAAATACAGCGAGCAGGATGGAAGCAGAACGATGGAGGTGTTGAATAGCGGGTAGAGGATCCAGGTCTGTGGCTGCACATGGTTCCAAACTGGCTTTAATGCACTGATCCTAAGTTACTGTCTCTGGGGTAATGTTCATTCCATCTGAAAAGAAGGGAACTTTTTGTTTATTACCCTTCGTACCCATGAATTCCAGTCTGTGACCAAGGAAAAAATCAAGGGGATTAAGCAGCATCGGCATGACCCAGATCTCACGTAATGGTGACAAATCATGGGTCAATTAACCCACAGTTTACCATATGCCAGATGTATTTTGCCAACATAGGCAATCTTCAATTGGGCTGATTGGACATTATTGCACGATGCCTGAATTGGATGCTACAGGCTAATTGTGGGTCAACAGTTACAATTAATTGTTGAATTAACCTATAATGCCTGGAATTGGATGTCACATTGTAACTTTTGATTGAGCCAATCAGAATTTGCATATGCAAAATGCCAGTAGAACCCTGTGGGTTAATAACCCGCAATTAGCTGCTGTTTAGTGCAAAGAGGCCCAGTGTGTCATTTTCATACCTGCCCATGCATAGGCCTGGAAGTCACCTATTTCTTCCAGAAGATGGTGTTGTCCTTTCCTTTTCACCTTTTCTCAAAACATCAGCTAGACTGGCAGAATACTTTTTTTCCTGCATCCTTTTTTCTTCAGTTGCTTGGAATATCTCCCCATTTCTTGCTTATAAGTTTTTTATTTCTAACATAACGTGTATTACCAATTTTATCCTTTTGATTGTTTTTAAGTCCATATATCATACCTCTTTATTAAAACTCAGTTGGCTTAAGCCAGCCTTCCTCAGTCTGGTGTGCTTAGCTGCCAGGTGTGCTCAGCTACAGTTCTCGGCATCCCCCGCTTGAAAGCCAGCCTTATCATGGGTGAGCTTCATTCATTCTGTCAGGAGGCTGTGTCTTGCTATGGCTCTCATCCCTCCCTCAGTCTCTCCCTCCCTCTATTTAAGAGGACTTCCCTCTATACAAATGAGAGCAAAGCAAGATGTTTTTTGTAGCAAATGCAGCATATCTGCCAAAATACCAAGGAGGGAGAGCTCTCCAAAGAAGGATTGGCAGGTGGGAAGGAGAGGTGCTTAACCCATTCTCTGCCCACTGATTCTCTCTTGCGTACAATCCCCATGCCATCTTTAAGTGCCCTGGGAAATCAACAGCATATACGACAATTTGTTCAGCCATATGATGGAATCATAGGGTTGGACTAGCAGGACTGACTAGGGGAAATAGGTGACAAAGACACCGTACTCCTTGCCAAGCAACTGAACTGATCCTGCTCTCACTTGCAGCAAACAAGCCCTGTAGCTGGGAAGCAACAACATTTCAGTTATCTCTCTCTTGTTGGTTGTGGGACCACCAAGCTACTTTCTGCTTGTTAGATCTCGAACTGTAATGTCTTGGGCTACTACAGTATGGAGTTCTTTATTTCCTAGGAATGTGTGTCCCAGGTAATCTATGGAGTCTTTCCTGGGCTGGTGCCCTCCAGATAGTTTAGACTGCATCTCCTGGCATCCTTGTGCATTAGCCATGCTGGGTGTGGCTAGTGGGACTTAATAGTCCAAAACGCCTGGGGGGCACCAACTTGGTGAAGCCTGATCTACGCATTTACTACACTTGCATGGAATCTCCCATCTCATGGCAGAACTTGGCCTTTTGAGAATCTTTGCTTCTAGTCTTCAGATTGCAAATAATAACTTGACAACATATGGACAAGAACTGGAAGGGACTCAGAGATGGAAAGGAAATAGTTTCCAAAATGGTTGGTGTACCTATGGGGCTCTCTGTTGTGTGCCCTCTGATCTTTGGGACTTCCTGATGCTGCTTCTATTCTCTCTTTGCCTTTTTCTTTATAATCCCTGCTTTAAAATTTCAAATTATTTGCTAGCCCATGTCTCCGAAGCAGAGTAAGTATCTGCACCATATTAGTTTGCATAATTATGGCAGAATTTCAGAGGGTGCTGAACAAGGGTCATTTCTTTTTCTGTTTGTGTCTCAGAACAGACACAGCTCTCTATCCTATGCTAAACGTGATCTTTCAAATCAACTCAGGCTTAACAGGCTCAAGCTAATAAAAAAGGAATTTTCTGTTGGCTTAAGATGGAATCTTTAAGTCTTTCTTTGAGGCAGGAGATGGTTAAGGCACCAGCAGCAGAATTAACTTGGCAAGGCAGCACATCCTTGCTTGTGAGTGGGATTTTTTAA